GCCACCCTTCCCCCAATTCTTCTCTTATTATCTGTTTTGATGGTTATTAGGAATTCTATCATTCTCTTTATGTCTCTCTCACACTCTCCATCATCAATTCGAAACTTTTTTTCAACTTGGAAAGTTCTGAAATCCACATGCAGTGTTAACTTGTGTGGCAACACAGTTTGTCTCCATTTTACTGTTGAAATTCAACACCCATCTTACATACCCGCTTGAACGAAACCAATTTAAAAAAAAAACAGTTTCTGAAAGTTACAGTATCTTTCGAGCTTCCAACAAATTTAAATAGATTCGATTGAGCAATGCTGTGCCGCCTGTTATAATCCATATAGTTAAGGCTGTTTTTTCCTTTCTCTTCATCATTCTAACTTCACAACTTCATTTCTCCGCTTCTCTTGCCTTCTTCTTAACAAAATTTGAAATTAATGAAAAAGAAAAGAGAATGTTTCCTTTGCTTAAATATTTCCGATCAACAATTTCGAAAATCGCTATTTTTTCTTTTTTTTTATTCACACTTCTGAGCTTCGGAAAGTTTTCTCACTCCTTCCCTCGTATTCGCCCCTTCCCCTTCTTGCTTCTCCCTCTCTCACCCCGTCTATCTCTCTCTTTTCCCTTTCTTCATCACCTTTTCTTTTTTTTCTTTCTAAAAAAAGAGAAAAAAAAAAGAATTTTGTTCATTTTTTCGTATTCAGGGGCAACCCTCATATCTTTCACGTTCACCCTCTCTCCTTTTCTCTCTCTGTATTCTTTGAACTTTGTCTCTTAAGCTTTTCCAGTCAATCCTCCGCCCTTCTCCCTGTATTTCACTAAATGTGATTTCTGTTTCCTTTACCAGCCGATGTTTTCTTCTAAATTTCTTAAAAGATTGATGAAAGGTCATAAAAAAAAAGACAAACATGTGAGAAGAAGCTTCAAATGAAATACTTTGTTTTTCAATCCTCATCATCAACGATAATCATTTCAAATGATTTGCAGAAAAAACTTTTTTTTTTCAAACAAATTTTTTTGTGTGTGTTTTGTAGAGAGTAATGTTTCAAACAAGCTGTTCCATTCATCTCTTTGTTCTTATTTTAGACTATTTATTTTATCACACAAGGTTTGAACCTTTGTGTTGCTGTTCGCCATCAAGACAAGCATCCGCCATGTGCCGTACTCCAGCATCGGCCACCTCCAGGTCCACTTCGCTTTGCTCTATCCATGCTTCCTCATCCATACAAAGAAATTATCTTTTAATCTTCTCACAACCTCCTTAAATTCTATTAAAATATTTATTTTTCTTTGAAACATAGAGTGAGAAAGAGAGAGAAAGAGAAGAGAAAAGAAATAATTCTGACAATTCTCGCCAATTTCGTTTTAAACTTCATTCCGTCGTTTTTCATGTTTTTTTCGAAAAAAAAAACTTTTTTTTTCCTCCAAATTTTCTTTTTCTCCAAATCAACCGATTCCTTCAACTGCATGGCTTAAAATGAAAAAAACAAACACGTACTTGACGGCTTTTTACGTAAAATATTTGAATTTTTATATTTTCATCATTTTATTTTCAAATTTATCTTCCGACGACTTCATATTTCAAGAGAAAGAGGTTTTCACCTCCTTCCCCCTTACTTCCCTCCCTCTCTTTCTCTCGTACTCTTCATCTACATCTTAGGTTGTATGACTGAATACTCCTGTTGCTGTTTGAGATGTTATTATACGCTTTGATGATCTCCAAACGTAACTGTCTCGTACAGAGTTTTCATTGGAACATCCATTCGTCTTCCTGTTCCTCCACTTCGTCTTCTTCTTTTTCTTCACATGTGTTCGGATGTTATTTCTCTTCATAATTTGTAGCATATTGTTGTTTTGTTTTGGATGTTTTCATTGAAAATGATAATTGGCTTGAGAATTTCAATATTCTTACCATTCATGATGTCTTGTCTTAGTTAGAGAGCAAGAAAGGAGAGATTTCTCATCAAATCTCTCTTTTTTTTCTTAACGGAAACGATTGGAAGAGAAATGAAGGAAGTGAGGATCGGGAAGGATGTCCAGAACGACGAAAAAAAATAAAAAAGATATTTCCTTTCAAGCGCAGTTCCTAGAATCTGTTTGATGGTAAACGCATTCCTTCTGTTATGTGTATGTGTGTGTATGAGTGTGTGTATGTTTATACGGGCAATGAAGATACGAGACGAATGATCAGTTATGGCAGTTTGCCAAGTAAAAAATAATTTCAAATCTTACATGTCAAACATTCTATCATGTTATGCTACACATAGTGTTAACTATAATAATATAGTTTATATGTATGTTTCAAAATATTCTTCCCGAGGGTTTTTTTGTTCTCTTTTTCCATATTTTGAGAGGATGGGGGCCAGTGTGAATCTGACAAACAGACAGACAAACAGATTGAAAGTTGAAAAGATTGAGAAAAAAAAAGAAGAAAAAAAAGATGTTGGCCTTGTTGTCGTCATCTCTTCCTTCATTCTCTCTCTCTCTCGTAACCCGTTCTCTCAATATCTCTCTCTCTATTTCCCTCTCTATTTCTCTCTTTTACTTTTTAAACCTTAGTATTGTCATATGACTGAGGAATTAAATGGAGAAAAAAAAAGATGAAAGAAGAGAGTAAGAGTGAGAGAGAGACAGACAGAGAGAGAGAGAGAGAGAGAGAGTATGAGAAGAGTTCGCATGTAAAGGTAAATATTTGGAGGAAAATATACTGGAAAAACCTTTTTTAGAATTCTGTAGAGGCCATGCATGTACAGGATGAATTTCCTCATTCGATTATTCAACAATGTATTTTAGAAGATTCCCATTCCTCAAGACATTCAAATGAGAGATTGTGCGATATCCGTTAACGCAATTTATTTTAACAGCCAATGTGGGGGTTGATAAGCAATTTTTTTTTCTCGAAAAAATGTGATCTTAAGAGAGACAGAGAGACGATGAGAGAGAGAGAGAAGATGAAAGTGCAGGGTGACAGCGAGTAATAGAGGGAGGAAAAAAAAGATTTTGCACGACAATCATTGTTGGAAATGAACGAACAGATGCTCAGTCTTTAAATAACGAGATTTGATAAGATTTATGAGGAATCGACAGTAGCTCTCTCTCAGATCATCTTTGGTTCGCATACGTGTTAAGGATCGCTGAGCAGTCGTCACGTGTCATGCGGTTGAAGCTACTCATCCAATTGATAATATGAAGCAGAGCAGTCGAGACGCTGTGACTAAAGCTGAGAAAATTGTTAATTATTTACGATTATCAACTTTTATAATTGGGAGGCCCAGAAAAAAAATTTTTTTTTCTTCCCTCTCTCTCTGTTGCCTCTTCTTGTCATATGACAGTGATGACGTCATCACGTGAGAACCTTCGTTGATTTAATAAGAAAACGACTTCATTTTCTTGCCATAAAATGAGTTTTGAATTCCACACCATCAGAATGAACTTTGAAAATGATTTGTTTGAAATCGGAGTAATAGACATAGAGAGTGATAGGGAGAGATAGAGAGCCATGTGAAGATAGAGTAAGAAAAACAAAAAAAGATAGATTGAAACATGCGAGAGAGAGCTTAGACGTCGGAAGTTGAAAAGAGAAAATGATAGTGATAGGGTCAAAGATAGAGAGAACAACCGTTCCACATGTCTGTTGTGCTGAAAATGATTCTTGAGATTATCTGTACTCCTTCATCTGTCAAAACCAACGTGATAAATGATTCGAAAATTGGGAAGATGATAAAAGAAATTCTTTTTTTCTTCTCATTTTCAGACTTCTCTGCTAGATGGAAATTGAGAAAAAAGATGAAAGAGGAAGAAGAGAGAGTCAGAGAAAGAGAGAGAGAGAGATGAATATAGAGAGAGGGAGAGGGAAGGAATGATTAAGAGACATAGAAAGAGATTGGGTGTGAGTAAAGTTTTTTTTTTGTTGAAATCTTTGATAGGCTTTTCCTCGTTGTGCTTCTTGTGTCGTTTCCCGAATCAGAGAGCATCTTTCAATCCTTACATTAGCATATGACACCGAACAAATCTTTTTTTTTTGTCGTTCTTCGTTTAATTTCAACTAGAATTTATTTAAAATTCAATTTTTTTTACTCTCCAACAGCCTCAGGGGAACAAATTAACTGAGAACTGAGCTTTTAAAGAGCTTTTTGTCATTTTGTTCTTCCAAAAGCGCCTCTGCTTACCTAATTGGGAAATGATCGTTGTTCTTCCAGTTAGTGACATCATGGTCTTCTGTTAGAGAAAAAGAAAAAAAAAACATTTCTCTTCGTTGTTGTTATTATTATTTTTCTTAATCAATAGGATACCAACCATCACACAAGGAGAGAGAGAGTGAATAAGAGAGTGAAGAAGACTAACTTATTAAAGATATAGAGATTGGAGGATAATAACGAGAGTAATAGAGAGAGAGAGAGATATGAAGAAACGAAATGAAGCGAAAGAGAATGAGGAAAACGAAAAATTTTTCAATTTGTCATCTTTCCATTGGAACATTCCATATAAGACTTATCCACTTCATGAGATGATTCTTTAAAAATTTTTATTTTCACATTCTATCCGACTACCCTCGTTCTCTCTCTGCCTGTACGTGCGTTGCTACATCTCTTTCGTTGAATAACCTGTGGCAATCATTTTGCAACTCATCTCGTAGCTTCTTCTCCACAATCAGTCTTCCGCTCTCTCTGTCCCTCTCTCTTACTGTTCACTCTCTAGTGTATTCATTTCTATCACCCTTTTCCCTCACTTTTAAAGAAAATCATGCAAAACAGCCAACCATTCATCTGACACAATTCCTTTCTTTGTACTTTTATCTTCTTTTCCAACTTGATTTAAGCGATATACTCAATTCATCTTCTCGTTGTTTTGCTTCCTGTTCCTCCTCATCGTCATCATCATCATCATCATCATCGTCGTCGTCGTCGTCCTTTTATGAACAAACAGTTTCATTATATTTTTGTATTTTATTCTCTTCCTTCCTTTCACTCTACAGCTATTACTTCTTCTTCTTCTTCCCCTTTTTTTGGAACAGGGACATAGAGATAGATAGAGAGAGAGGGGTAGAGGAGGGTGAGTTAGAAAGATCAAAAAGCAACTGCCCCCCAGATCTCTATGGTATCTTTCAGTTTCTCGCTCTCTCTCTCACTATTATATCATCTCTTACATTCTCTATCGTCCTCCCTCACTCTGAGTTTAACGTGATATTCCATTTATAGCCATTGTCACGAGATTGCCTCTGAATTCGCCTTAATATTCTCTCTCTCTCTTTTATCTCTCTCTCTCTCTTCCTTCTTTTTTTTGAACTCGTACACAAGTTCTTCTCATATACATACATATAACTCTCTCCCTGCTAAAAACTCTTGTAATCGTTTGATCTGCCTGTCTGTTATATCTCTAATCAACCTTTGTTATCTTCTTGTTTGTATTTTTGTATTTGTATCCGATCAGCTATACTCTTCTATAGACTACTCTTTAAAAGATACATGTAAGTGACATCATGTGATCATGCTCAACCAGCTTATCCCCTTATTCGGGTTATGTATATGTGTTACTATGTGTGTATGTGTATGTCTGTGTCTATGTATGGCTGTGTTTGAAATTGTTCCTTTTGTTGAAAAATTATGAAAGAAATCTCATGGTATACCAGCTTGCTTCAATTGAATCTGAGAGGAAGAAAAATATTTTTTTTGTCTTTCCATATAAGGCGTATAAAGAGGGAATATGTATGAGCAAGAGAGAGAGAGAGAGATAGAGAGAGAGGGAGGAGTAGAAAGAGAGGGAGAGAGAGAGAGAAAGAGATCTTTGGAAGGGAGACAAAAATAATAAAATTGGAGAATTTTAACAAGTAAACGAGAACAAAAAGTACTCTGTCAAGTGGAGATTTTGAGGATCAAAAGGGAGTAAGGAGGAGGAGGAGGAGAGAGGGAAACCTAAAGAAAAAAACAAAAAAAAGAGGAAAAACTAAAAGTTTCTGTTAAATAATTGCGGTAAAGGCAGTTGGATGAGAACATCGGATATGTAAGGAGAGATTGAGAGATAGAGAGAGTTAGAAAATCATGAAGTAAAAGAGAGAGAGAGAGAGAGATAGAGAGATAGAGGTATGTAATGATAGAAAGAGAGGGAGATGCCTCAGAATATGACATACACACATTTACTCACACAAGTATTTATGTACTCAAATCTCTCCATATATGTATAAAAATATAAATATTTTGAAATTTCAAATGAATTTTTGTGAATCTTTGACGACTTCTCGTTTGCATCCTCTTCGTCTCATATATATGCTTATAGCTATTCTGGTCTCATTTCATCTCATTTACTGTTTGTATGTGTTTGCTTGTATCTGCTATATCCTTATTTATCTGATTGTCTTCTTCTCCTCCCATGATTGCCTACTTTTTTCGTTTTTCTCAATTTCGTGTTCCACGTCTTCATTCTCATCGTGAACGTCTTCTGCATCAAGCATGAAGAATAGGATTTCTACGAAGAAAATAGATTGAAATAAGGATACGTCAAAACACTTTGCTTGTTTATTTTAAGATGCAAAAAAGGAAAGATTTGAAAAGAGAGAGAGGGAGAGGGAGAGAGAGAGAGAGAAAAAAACATTTTGAAATACATCAAATCGCAACGAAATATATTGTTTTCATCTTTTTATGCTAATTTTCACGTAAATATGAGAATTACCTTATACGCAGCGTATACACACACACAGAGTCATTATACACTTGACGAACATGATTAGCATAATGACGTAATTGCTCACGTGTACGTGAAAGTTGGCATTCGTATGCTCATTTAATAAATTTCGTGACTGACAGAATGGCTGTAACCATGTTCAATTATTCTATTTATACTCTATTAGGTAATATGCCATCTTCATTTATATTTAATTATGCTGTAACTATCCATTAACTATATCTATATAGTATTTATGTATATCTTCGTCTTACATATATGTATTTCAATTCATTTCATTTTATAGATAACTAGTCTAATTCTGAAGAAGAGGTCAGGCTCTTGTGTGAGTTGGCTCACATGGCCTCTACCTCACTACCTCCAGCAATCATCATATCTTCCTGTCGTAGTGCACATGAAATGGCTTTTTCTGATGATGAAATGGAAACAAATGGCTTACGCACAATTAATCGACCAATATATTCAACCAAAAGGTACGCATATATATCATATAATATAATATGAAAGAAGAGTGGAAGCGTTTAGTATAGTATACATATTATAATAACAAAATGATACATTGAATGCGCTTCTTCCTTTTCCTTTTTTTTTTTTTATTTTTTTGTGCAATCTCTTCTCCTCCTCTTCTTCTTCTTTTTTTTTTGTCATTCCTATGGACATCTGTAGTTCTTCTGCGAGCTGTTTCAATAGCTTTCACACAGACAACCAACCCCACAGCATATGGGATTTTCTTTTTATTAACTTCTCTCCTCCAAACTGCGCTCTTTTGATAAACCCGCCAAATTTAAAACAACTTCTAGTTTTACAATTATATTTTCATGAATTCTCATCTTCTCCTTCTTCTTCTTTTTTTTTTCATTTTTCTTTTATGTCAAGGATCTTGCACTTTGTGATGTACTGAAGTGTAGCATGGTATTATTAATTACTGTATAAGACGTCGGCTGTTCCCCTTACAAACACCAAATGTGTGCTCTTATGGTAGTTGATAGCATTACTTGACGCAAATTAAATATCATTCATAACAAAATGTAAATCTCATAATAGGCTATGTGATCAATTGAACATTCGGATTTTATTGATTATTTTTGCTTTTCGTATTTGTTTTGTCTTCATTGATGAAACACACATTTTAATTACATACATTTTGGGATTTGAAACACTTGTTATGATAGATTGGCTTTAAGATTCAAAACACATCGCCTTAGGTATCATATGAACCGTCTTGATAAACGAATGTTGCGTATGCTCTATGCATTTCTATATATCTCATGTTTCGAATATGTGAGAAAGATAGCGGAGACAAGAGATAGAGAGAGAAATAGAGAGAAAGAGAGAGGGAGAATGATAGTTGTCCGCTCACAAATTTTGTTAGGACAATTTTTTGGAAAATTCAATTTTTGCTTTCTTTTTTTTTCTTTTTTTTTGTTCCTTTTAAAGTTTAACGACTATGATTTGTCGTTATCCTGTTAAAGTGTAGAATTCGAACTAAGCTGCTTTATCACTCAAATCGTTAGGCTACACGTTGTAAAGGGTCGTGGGCGGAGTTTCATATGTCTTTTGAAAATTTTTAGCAAAGATGTCTATCAATGTTTTGCCTATATTTTGCCGTAAATCACTAGCATGATCCATCTTTCGATATTCATATTATGTTTTGTAGCCGTGATATATATATTTCTATAATAAGTTGCTTCCCGTTATTTCGAGATTTGCATGTTTTGAATAGGAGGAGAGGAGGGAGGTGGGGGGGAGTGGAAGAGTTCGTATGTTTTAATAATATTTTTTTATATTCTACCTCTTTTTATTCTCAGCAACTCTAGAACGAGATGTATTTCCTAAGCTGGATATACTATATCTTGATTAGTTGACATAAATGAGCATAAGAATATTTCATTTTCCTCGGAAAAAAATCAGCTTTTTCTCATGTTTAGTCATCTGTCATAGTGCGTACTCAAAGACACATGATGTGTTTGCGTTAAAGCATTGACTGAGATTGTGAGTTGACTCCACCTAACTTGTAATTTTGCGCGTTCGGAAAAGCTTTTTGCTCTGTTTGCTAACATATTTCCTTTGTTTTCATTTTTTATCTCATTTTTTCTTTGATATTGAAGGGGATGGCATGCTACTCATGTATATAAGGCAATTGTACTGGCTTTCTTTTTTTTTCTTTTTTTTTGTAATTCGTTTTGTTTCATGTTTGCTTTGATTATTGCATTGTGAGAGTATTGAGATCGGTTTCCAAAAGCTTTCATTACTTTTTGTTTGTCGGGGCATAAATCGCATACTGTGAACTTGAGCAATACCTGAGAAGTGATGATTGATAAGTGAAGACATAAATTATCTCTTTGCACATATATTCTCTTTAGTCTATCTCTGCACGTGCTTTTTGTGTCAGCTTTCGTTTATTGTGATGTGCATTCTATATCCTATATTGTGTTTTGCATTCTTCTAACCGGATTGGCAATGAGCTCTGCCACGAATTAGGTGAAGAAATCGAAGAATGTGTGTTTCATTTGAAATGCCATTTATGTGTTGCTTTATGAGGCTCCGTTACTTGTGCCATATCTGATTTTTCTTCCTTTTTCGGACACTCAACAATCAAGAACATTCTGATTGTTTTATTATCAAAAGCCATAAAAACTTTACACTCTTTACATTATAAACTGCTGAAGCTTTCTTTCAAATAGGTTTTTTTTATTTGTTTGTCTTGCCACATGCTATGACACTCCGGTTCCATGATGATGAGCCAAGGCTTTTCTTCTAATCTGAGTTTATTATTCATTGAAAGCAATTAAATATTGTCTTTTGCTTGATCTATGAAAATATACTTATTAAGGCATTTGCTTAGTGTATATTTTGAACAATGTCCTTGGCTTCATCATTATGGTGTTGCCGGCTTGACAATTTGGAAGGCATTTCCCATTTGACTATCTATTAGGTTTTTGGCGCCATGCCATGCACTTTCTCCACCATCTCTTTGTCTGGCAAATTTTCAACTATACAGTTCAGTTCATATAGGCCTTGTAGGTCTTTGACATTCGTTTTTAAATGTTTCCCTAGGCTTTTTTCCTCATGTGATGGTTGGTATTGGCTTGTCTTATAGTTCCAGCTGTGTGAAGGAAGTTGGCTGTATGACAACAGAACATTCATAAATGAATGTGAGAGAAAGAGAAAGAGAGAGAGAGATTGAAGGTATTAAGAAAATGATTACATGAGACTGAACACGCTGACCATTTTCAATGTGACACTGATTTTCGACTTTATGAGTTTCATATACAAAAAAGGTTTTGTATAGTAGTGTGTATGTGTGTGACATGGTTTGATCTTTTTCACTCGTTCTCTTGAATTTCATTTCATTTGAAGTTTTGTTTTTATGTTGATTATCCGTATGACCTAAAGTATAATAGTATTACATGCTTTTGATGCATTTGTGTTTATCATTTCGTTCTCTTGGCTATATTTGAATTTATTCCAACACATTCTGTTTTAAGTTTTTGCGTGCAAAATTAGATTATTTTTTTTTCTATGCAACTTTCTTTTGACGAGTTTGCCCGAAACTTATGTCCTTGAAAGAAAAAACGTTTCGTCCATTTTCCCATTGTATTCTGGACATGAAGAGGCCTTTAAATCATTTTTTTTATTAGTACTGCTTATGAACTAACTGAATTGATACTGTAAAGAACATCTGAATACAGTTTATAGAACAGTTTTCAAACTGCTGTTCATTCGATTCATTCTAAACCTACCATCTTTCTAAGTTGTTAGCTTGTTGCCCATAAAACCCACAAAATGCTTGGTCTTTAAATTATTTTTGATTCGATCCTTTTATAGGTGGCAGACAATGACATCGCTTCGTCAGCCTTCAACTCCGATAAATGTGTATGGACGTTCTACAGATGCTGATTCACATTACATAGGATACACTCCAACTCATACCATAGGCAAGTATTTGTTGCGTAGTCTTAAAGATTCGTAAATCATATTCAATTTGACTGATCAGTGTTCAGATACTCCTCGCACACCCGTGACCAGTGGGCAGCGGTCTCGTTTTTTAGAAGGCTTTCGGCGTCGCCGATTACAAAGTGAAAATATTCCCAGAAGTTCATTGGATGAAGGCAATTACTTTCATCGCCTACTCATGTTATCAAATCTTGAACTTTCAGATCTAGGGTATCCTCCTGTTTGTACACCTCCGCCCGATATATGTTTAGATCTATCTCAGTCTGCTCCTGAGAGACCAGCTTCATGTATCCGAACAAGATCTGTTTCCGAAACTTCGCAGTTTCATCAGGGGCATCAGGGGTTAACAGTTGTGCACAAGTAAGATTAATAATGATGATTAATTCACAGTTGATGTTTAGACGGCAGTCGGGTGTTCTCGTTGTTTTTCCTCATTCGCCTTCGTTAAATGGCCATACGTTATCAACCGATGGAAAAATCAACTATTCAGGATGCATGTCTAGCAAAAGCTATGATGGTACGTCTTCTTCGATTTTACCCTATGTGGTATTCTTCTCAGCTAAATATAAGCTAGTTTGCGGGAGAGAAGTTGTTGTGAGTTCTACAGCTGTACTTCTAGGATGTTAACGAATCTTGAGTGATGTCTTCACCTTTGTTTTACTCGGAGCTAAAGTTTTGAAAAACTAGCTTGAGATGAAGAAAACATCGGGATCATACGAGATACATTCATAGCTTGATTACTCGGGTGATCAGTTGCGAAATCAAATGTCTCAATAGCAAATTTGTTGTTGTGACAGCAACTACAGCGTTTACGTGTAGCATTCGATTTCTCAAATTATTCTATATTGTCCTATTCTTAACATAGGACAACGTGCATCACTCATGTCGGATATATAAACAACAGCTGATACTTTGGTGGGAGCGCATTTAACTTTATCGCAAATCTGCTATGCTCCTCCAACTATATGCGACTGTTCGCCTTCTCTTCAGATTAGCGGTTGGGTATAATCTGAGTATATTCACTATCAATGTTATTATTATTCTTTTGTTAGAAATATTAATGGGCGTTTATCATGAACGTCAGATAACAAACTACTTCGGGTTCAATGAGAAAGGCCTATCGTTTTAACTCATCCACTACTCAAAGTTTCCGCTATCTAATGAAATAGATTAGTCGAACACTGGACCGACAGCCCAATTCACTTTTCTTACATTATTTCAATTCTCATTTTTATTGAAATAAATTCAGTTGTAGTGCATTGAATTGAAGAGTGGTGTTTCTTGTGACCTATCTAGCTGATTGGGAACGTTGGTTGTGTTCGCTCTCAAAGTTGTTATATATTCAAATTACTGCTTTCTATGTCTTTCTCTTTCATGTTTGCCGCAATATTATAATATAGTGTAACTACCTATGTTTTTCTCCATTTGCTTTTTTCGGATAATTTACCACCAAATCTAGCTTGTTTCAGCTTTTCCTACTGCCTGTCATGAGCAGAAAAATATATGTGAAATGCATCTCCATATTTGTGTTCGTTCAGCTTGAGATTTTTTTCGTTTTCCCAACGTTTTTCTGCTTTTTCCGCTTTTTCCGGACTCTATAAATTATAGATAATTAACTCTTCTTGAGCGTTTAATTCAGAGCGATTCATTTGAACTCTGGACTAAGTTGCCTCATAAAAGAGTATTTCGTGTGTTATTAAGTGTTAAGCTCAGTCGAAACACAAATCCAAGCAATCTGCCTGCAGGCATCCATCGATTCTTATAAATACTATTTTCTTGAACGTTTTGTCCTTTTGTTTCATACTAATTTGACAGAAATACATGAGGCGCAGCGGACAACGTATCTTCGTTTCTCTCTCTGCTTAAGTATTTTTATCTCGCGTTGAGCTATTTTTCCTTATTCTCATGTTTTTCCGTTCCGAGCTTGTGCTCCACCTCCCCCTCTGGAGTATGCAAAGTCTCGCGGCAGCCGAAGTGAAATAATAATCAATGTGACTTCTGCCCTGCTTTCAAAAATGTAGTTCTCCTCTCATCCCCTGTTCTTCTTTTTAGCATAATGAATCTTTCATGTGTTCGACTATAGGCCTGAGCTAGATTGTGTGAAGTTGTCTTCCATTTTGGGTCGCTGGTCTTAAACATATTTTACAATGTTTATCGGTGATGACCATTTTTTCGTGCTCTCTCTATTAACCACCAAGTGATAAGCTTGGTATGGTCAATTAACTGATTTGGCCATATATAGTCCGTTCTGGCTCGATGTGTTCAGACGAATTTAAGATAGGAGGCCAGACCACCGATTACTTTGATAACCAGATCGTATCTCTTGATTTATTAATGCTTTAACTATCAGTCTGTCTTATTCAATGCAAATGATATTGTTTAAAGCTATTCTGTTGTTTGGAAGTTTTATGTCTGCTTGTTTGGCCTCCAACTGAAGAGCTTCATCTGTAGTCTAGAATAACCCTTCTATCATACTTCTCATAGATTAATCCTTTTGATATTGTCTTTTCCCAACACCGACCGACGTTAGACACGATTTTCACTTTATTTATTATTTTCTCTCATCTTCAATCATTCAACGTATTCTTTCCGTGTATAAGGTTTAAGTCATTACGTTGATTGTCCCACCTGTCTCTTAGTTTTCTGTTTATCATCTTTATATTTTGAATTCGTAATGTCATTTTCTCTCTCTTTTTTATTCATTTTCTGACATCATCTCAGATTTTCTGTTAGCGGTACACGTCATTTTTTGCTATGACCGCATGTGAGACTGAAACTCATGATGCGTCACCCGCTCCTTTACCTTCTCGGGGATTGCTGCAGAAGTTCCGCAAACGTCTTCTAAGTCTCGACAGTAAAGTTGGAAGTGAGATTGAAATAGAAACAAATGAGAAAACGATGAGAAACAACTGTTAATCGAATGTTCTTTATGAGCTTGTTGGTAAAGTACACAGGTTGAACTGTACTTCTGTTGTTTGTTTGATAGTGGAGGAGTATTCAAATTGCTCAATGCGCTCAAAGCTCACTAATAACAAAAACAGTTGACTTTTCGAAAGTTTTCGGAAATTCAGATAGTTTATCTGTCTGATCGATGTTTTCCACAGCGCATCTGATACACAGTCGAGTCATAATTAAGAAGAAAAAATGAAATTAGGATGAACATAATCTAATATATATTGAATTTCAGGTGTCATTCCTTCTATGTCACCCAGAGAAAACAATAATTCTCGTGCTTCTCCACGTCGTCCGCTTTTTGTGGATACACAGCTGGCTAATGGACAAAAACGGAGCCCTGTCGGTAGCATGATGGATTTTGTTCGCGGGAGGAATCGGACGACTTCGGTAAATTTGACTTCATTTTCATTTATCACGATAGTGATGATTTAAAATCATCTGATCGTTTTCATACCCCTTTCGAACTAGGATGGAATTGTCTATTCATAGTCGTCCATATTTCTTTCCGGGTATCCTTTATCACAGTAGGGTTCTTTCGTGCGATATGTAATCGATGCCGAAGAACAGGTGTCAACAATTACATGAAAAGCATACTTAAAACTGACTGATTAGTAATTAAGTTTTTTGTTCGAAGAAGAGAAAAGTGAAATGAGAAGGTAAATTGCGTGCAAACCTATCATGCGTTTCTATAGTGAATATATGCGAAACTTGGATACCTAGTTTCCTGTCTGTTATTTGCTCTTGATGGCGTTTGGACTTCGGTTCCCCAGGCATTTACTTTTTAACCATGCTCGTTTCTTTATAATCTATCCGATCGGGCACAGATAGAATAATAGGTCGAAAGGTTTACGCAATGTGACTTTTTTCGAACTAAATCCTTTTTTGGGCATTTTACTTACATAATCAGAGTAACAAACAAAAAAAGTTATCAAATGAATAGTCGACGGAACAATTGGAAAATATTTTTAAAACTTCGATTTTTTCGTTTCTCAATATTCGAAAACATTATGAATCGCCGACCAAACGAGTTTTATGAACAATCTATGAAATTTAGCTCCGAAACTGTATCTTCATTTTATCTCATTTCAGTGTAGCTTAACAGGAAGCTCTTCTGGGCCAAACACACCGTCTTCACCACAATCTGTTTTTGCGCGGTGTTCAGCTTCTGTAGACGGTTCTTCAGCCACACCTATGTGTAGGACTACTTACTTCGAGTTAGCTCAACGTTAATCCTCTTTTTTTCCAGCTCCTGTATTTTCTCCGAGTAACAGACCTTTTCTAAAGCATTATCATCGAAGCGGGTATCATCGTAGTGTCGATTCAGATTCGGGTCTCGGGCTTGGTTCACCATCCATTGGTCATACTGCTCTTTTAATACGTGAGGTGCGCTGAATTTCGTTATAATTTGTTTTTTCATTCGAGAAAGGTCATGCTTGAGTCGAAGGTAAGGTTCCCCGTTTCCTACAAATGGTTATTTGTCTGGAAATTTCCGTCGCACAAGAAAGATGTGACAAACGAATAGTTTCCTATTTTTCATTTGCCCTGAACGTTTCATAAATCCCAATTTTATGATTCAGTGAGGAAGGGAGGGAGTGAGAGAGGTGGGTTGGGGGGAGGATAAATATTGCAATTGATCATGACCGATAATTCTTTTACCCAATCATATTCAATGGTGAAACTTATCGATTATCTTATTTATCTATGTTTAACATTCCGACCTGAATGCGACCATTCATTGACTCGCAGTCAGCATGGCTGATGTTGTTTGGCCATTAGTTACGTCATGGTTTAGTATTGTGTACTAAGTACATGCGTTACTTCGGACTTGTTTCTTCTCCTGTTATGATTTCTTAACATCATCTTTGCAATATTTCTTCCGTTCCGTCGGTGCATGTGACTCATCAATCAATTATTGGCCTCTTGGCTTGTCATTTTCGCATAATATCACGTGTGTCATTACGACTACCTCTACGTCATTTCCATTATCTAATCCACTCAATAGTTCTTGAGTCCATTAGAATCTGTACTTTTGCGTCCATTAGCTATTAAAAATGTTTTGAATATGCTGCTCATTTCGAAATTGTTCTGCGAAGTTCTGGCTTTTTTCTTCTTCGCCATCTTCAGAACCATTATGGACGTCCTTGTGTGCCCGGCTTCTGCTTTCTAGACATGCTTCAGGCGTTTTCTATTTGCCAACTTTTTCTTTTTCGTTGAATTAATTTTAGCACATTGTTTAGATGGAGAGAGAGAGAGAGGAGTGGCAGAGTCACTCGTCTCTTTTTTTAAAATTCTAAGAGATCAATATGCTGACTAACACAAGCGCTTGGTAACGCTCGTGGAACAGCTTCTCTTTTAACTAAATGCTGTTAATTTACTCGCTAAAATTGTGGTTGACGCTTGGTTGTGTGGATTTGTTTACGTTATTTCACAAGTTTACTTCTATGATTCATAGAAATCTTTGAACAAATAATATCTGGGTTAGGTGTCGAAGTAGAAAACGATTTCGTAGCATGTTCATCCTTCTTGAAGCAGAAGAGGATTATCTCAAATGCTAAATGATGCGGTTTTTTCGAATTCTCCCACTGGCATTCAAGCAGAATCTCCGAAAAACAAAGTTTCAAGTCATAAAATCTATTTCGCCTTTAAGCTTTTTGAAGAGCTTGTCACAAACTTGCGTCTTTTGATTAATTTGTAGAGATTTTCGCTACTCCCATTGTGCTTAGATGCATGCAGGTGATGAAGATGCTGCTGCTCTTCTTCATTGAAACAATTTATAAAAGGCTTTAGCCAGCACTAACTAGCACAAAAAAAGGAAAGAGAAATTTGTGTTGTCTGGGTAGCTCAGTGAGAACAGGGGATACATACACACTCACTCATATACACACACATACACCCTAAATATCGATTCCAACTCCATTGTCATTCGTGCGGTGCGTATTTCAGTGTTCTCCTTCCACATTTCTGATTTTGTTGATCTTAAAACATGCTGAAGAGTATTTTCCTCCAACTTTGCGTGCAAACGTTCTTTCTTTTTATTTTTTTGTAGTTTCAATGTTTTGTTTCATTTGTACGTCGAAATGTCTTCTAAACATTCCAACAGTGCTGTTATCTCTGATTCAACTGATGCTACTAGTGTCCGAACATGCGCTTCAGAAAATTCGTTTCCATAAGCAATGCAGCAGCACAATGCTTATCGAGCACATCCCCTTTTTTAGTTTTGTGCATTTTCGCGTTAGTTCATGTTCTACAAACAAGCCGAGGATTAATTAGAATTGGCTTGCCCTCATTGATTTACGGTTTTATCTAATTCTTTACTACTAGCTTCTTGATTTTGCTTGAATTAGCTTCACTTACTACACTTACCCGGCAGAATTGCCTATTCATAAGAAGAGATATGGATTCCGTGACGCCTTTCCTTGAATTTTACAACATTTATTTTCTTTTTCATTTTCTTCAAATCGAATTGTGGTCGAGCTGATCTTTCTGCCTGATTATTTCCTTTGTGATATATTAATGTCACGCGTTTGCATTTCGCTAACCGACGTTTTTGCATCAGCTTTCAACTCCAGCGTTTCCTTCTTAGCCTTGCTCAGGATCATAATTTAGTCATGAATAACATCCTGTCCTGCTATACCAGGTAGACTGGAACCTTTCAGTTATATGAAAAAGTCAAGCGATTTACAACATTTTTGAATAATCTAAAACGCTGTAACAGGTTAAAGGTTTTATGTGACTGATGCGCACGCACATCTTTTAAAACGATTATAACTCGAAGCTCTTCTGATTATCTTTCACAGCTGTGCTGACGATCTCACTCGAGTTTCAGTCTCTCCCGTAGTGTCGCAAAACGTGTTTTATGCTTTTTAAAAACATCACTTTATCATCATTCTGCTGATGAACTTGAAAGATTTTGATTTTTTTCTCAAAGTTTCTTTCTGAGATCGTTATTTTCCTTTTTTTTTTGTGATAATTTCATAATATGTGGCAGTTAATTTCGTTTACACGTCGATTAGAACGAATGGCTGATATGACACCGACTCTCTCTGATAAAGACACCTCTTTGGTTATTTTCTACTTTCTCTTAATCACTTTCTCCTTGCTCTTAGACCTCGCAGTAATTGCCAACTGACATTGTCGTGCAAATAACTTCTGTTTTACCTCGGATGAAACAGACGTCATTGTCGGTAAAAAATTGTAAGATAAATGGGTTGTTTCTAGTATACTCGGCCATGTGTTTCGCATGCTTTGGAGTTTCTCTCTCTCTCTCTCTCTGTTCATCGCTTTTCTTCTCATTCAGCTCGTATTTCTTTCTTTTCAAAAACGAACAGGATGGCTTTTCATCTCCTTTTTTGTCTTCTCTCTCTATGTATGTGACTGTTCGATCTGGTCAACTTTTTTTCCTTTTTTGTTACTTTTGTTTCATAAGAATCAGCTGATTTCTCAGGCTATTCATAAGATTTGTTTGAGCTATCTTGCTTCGCGTTTCCGAGGTTTCTTAGTCTCGCTTGATCACTTAACTCCTCTTCCGTCTCATAGAAGCTTCTAGAAGTCCTGATCGATGCTCCATTAACATGTGTAGGACAATGGTGGTTTGTGATGCTCGCGCCTATCATGTCTTGATATTGACCGTCTGTTTTCCTACCAAATCCATCATATTTGTATTTTATCTTTTCTAATCAATTTCTCTTTGTTTATATTCTTTGAAAATCATAACTCTACGTTTCCCTCGTTGACTTATGCGTTTTTCGAAAAGTCATAAAATAAAGAGAGTGAAATATTGATGGCTTGAGGGCGTAACTATATAGGAACGCCCCCTCACCCCCAACAAACTTGTAGAAAAATTTTGAGCAAAGCTTAAGTTTCTTTTCAATTGATTATCTTAAAAACATATCCTTTCATTATTAGATCGCTGCAATTTTGAACAAAGTTGAAAGCAAACAAGGCTCTTTACATTTGTTTGTCGGTGCTGTGGTTTGCTGACTTCATATGCATTTCATTCCTTGTCATTCTCTCCGGCTTGTACTATATTGTTAATGATACATATTCGACGCTCTATTCAACTTCTCTTTGTTGTTTAAATAATTTTCACCTTTTTTGTACTTTTGTACATTCTCTCCTCATATTTGAACTTCGCCCAAGAAAATACTTTTGTCGTTGTTTTTGGATTTATGAGCTGTTTGCATCAATTCCAAAATTGATACCACGCAATTCTTTGTCAAAAACAATTTATGCTAATTTCTCATTGTGTTATGGGCTTAGCCACATTCTCTCCATACCCCATCGCACAGAGTATTTAGAAAAATCAGTTATGTAATGATATGAATCAAACTAGTTTTTTGAAAGTGTTTCAATGAACACTGCCTGCCGCCTGCCGCCGCCGCCTCCTCTGCCTTATCAATCACACATTTTGATGAAGATCCGATTAAAAATACACATTCTGTTCTGACTTTTTTAGATTTCCTCTTCCCTCTTTTGGGTCGTTCGGGAACGGGAATGAGCTCAATTTGTACAAGCTTACATAGTCTTTTATCTAATTATATTGCTCAGACACCATGATTCGAATTTCCAGAAGCTGTTTCCCATTGGCTTTTTTTCTATGCAACGTGTCCTTTATCCTTTCATTATGTTCAATGGGACTACATATTTCGTACCACGCTGAACTCTGACCTCTTACCAATCTAATTTACTGAATCCATCCTTTTTTTGATTTCCCTCGTTGTTTTTCTATTCCCGCTGAGTTCGGTTTGTTTTAATGCTTCAACAAGTTAGCTCTTCGATCCGCGCCTCGTTTCTTGTCAAATATTTGTACTATTGCTTCTATGATAGGCATTCATGGTAGTATGTCGAAGAAACGAGCTCCATCACTGGTTTCGTTTATACTCAATCCTATTTGTTGATTTTTTCATTGTTAGTTCTTATTCTCGTTTTTGCTGCACTAGCTCATACAAATTCCTTTCATGTATTTTAGATTTATTTTCCTAATTCGCTTTTCATTCGTGCTCTCGTTCTTTGAATGTGGGATGACAAATCATTTTTTCAGTTGAGCATTCTCTTTTAATGGCTTCATGATTTCCTCCACGTTAGTGTGAGATGAGAAAATGAATTTAGTGTCGCTGTTCGCTTTGTCGGCTGTAACATAAGAGACTAATTCATTGCGTTGAACAATAGACCAAGTTTTCACTAATATGGTTGCACAAGCTTCTGGTGCTGCTGTTCCACCTGATATGATTGATTCTCCTCAATTTTCAAGAGGAGGAAAAAAGAAACAACGCGGCCAGACATCCTCATGGATGTCGGCTGCGAAGTCGAAAGCGACTGGTACTCTACGACGAACTTTGTTTGGAAAGCCTTCAAAATCGGCTTTGCGTGCTAGAGATGCTGAAGATGTTATCGAAGAGGAAGATTATACTTCATCGAATTATGACACTGTCCGTTCTCTGCCTGCTTCTGGTCACTATGGCGGGAGTAGAGTAGGGCACCTACATGTGAACTTATCTAGCGATGAACGTTTAAACTTACCTCCTGCCCCTCCGGTCATCATCTTGAAGCTTCCTAAACGAAGACAGAGTCAGCCCTCTCGTATATCCCCGAGTAATCGAGCACAACATGCTCAGCCTGATCCAGTATTCGACTTTCAAGCATGGCATTCTTCTCTCGATGATAGTAAGTACCTTTTTCAATTATGAACCTTTCAGAGAGCGTTGTTCAATTCTTTTGATTCCATGACTATAGGAAATATTTCATCTGATATCAATACTGTTTTCTTTGGTATGCTAGTATTTTTCCGAATATATCTTCTGATTCTTTTGGAATACTACAAAGAAAACTAATTTCCTTCGCAATTTCGTTTTCTAATCGTTGGTTATTCAGATTGTCAAGATGCCGTTTATTCACTGTTCATGAGAGCTCATAAATGTTATGATCTTATACCAACATCGACTAAACTAGTTGTGTTTGATACTCACTTACCGGTAAGACTGCAATTTCTTTGATTTTTCATGATTTTCTCATTCTCAGGTTCGTAAAGCTTTCTTTGCTTTGGTATACAACGGTGTCCGTGCTGCTCCCTTGTGGGACAGTGGCCGACAGAAGTTTGTTGGTATGCTAACAATTACGGATTTTATCAAAATTCTTGTTAGGTAGGGTGATCGCCGATCATCATTTTTTAGTTCCTTCTTTAGGCACTATGATGCGGGAGATACAGGAGAAAAAATGCGTGCGCTTGAAGAAGAAGAAATTAGTCATTGGCGAGAGCAGTTCGCACAGGACGGTTGCTTGAGACCCCTCGTTTCGATTGATCCTAACGACAGGTTTTTGATCCCAGAAACACGTTGATGATATCATTCTATTTATAGTCTTCACCGAGCTGTCCAAGTGCTTTGCGAATCAAAAGTACATCGTTTACCAGTTTTAGACCGAACAACAGGAAACATCAGTTACATTTTAACGCACAAGCGTTTGATGAAATTTTTGTCACTTTATGTAAGATTTGACAACACTCAGCGAGTTCTCATTAAGCTTTGTAGATGTACGATTTACCAAAACCACCATTTATGGATAAGTCACCACGCGAATTGGGCATTGGTTCTTGGGGAGATATTCTCACGATCAGATGCGATACACCTCTTCATGACGCGTTAGAGATTTTCTTGAAGAACAGAGTATCAGCCTTGCCTCTTGTAGACGAAAGTGGAAGGGTATGTTTCGTACTTCAAAAGAATTTAATTCATTTTCATATATTTCTAGGTCGTTGATATTTACGCTAAGTTTGACGTGATCAGCTTAGCTGCAGAGAAATCTTATGATAAGCTGGATTGCACTGTGCAAGAAGCTTTGGCTCATCGATCTGATGTAAGAGTTCATTGAGCTCTCATTGAACTTATCATTTCTTTTTTCCAGTGGTTTGAAGGTGTGCAATGCTGTCGAGCAACTGACTCTCTGTTCTCGGTTATGGAAGCAATAGTTAAAGCCGAAGTCCATCGTTTAATAGTGACGGATGAAGATAAAAAAGTGAATATTGAAAAATGTTTATTTTACATCAACTTTTGATAATAGGTTGTGGGAATAATATCTCTCTCGGATATTCTGAAGTATTTGGTTTTGGATCCTGTTCTTGTTGAATCACAGCCTGCTTCGAACACAAGAGAAGATAGTCCGGTAGTCGACGACATTCCTGAAGGAATTGAGGACTAGTGGGAATTGTGCAGTAAGCCCATCTCTAAGTTATAACTCATCTAATTAGTCTTTCCAGTGATTTATCATGTATGTGCAGTGTACATATCACATATAACGATGACTTAAATTGATCAGGATTTTCAAGTGCTTTTCCAACCGAACTTGTCATTCGCTTTGTTTGCAAGTGTTTTTAGTAGGACTCTTCTTGAAGTTTTTTAACTTATGTTAGGCCTTAATCTTCGGACGAAAGATTTTGAGAGCCCTTTCATCCATCATTCTTCACACATGTCCCGCATGTACCTCAACTTGTATTATACCTGTGCAATTTTCTAGCTGCAATAATTTAGTTATCTGACCTTTGCTCTCTGATAGCTAAAAGTAAGTATGTAGCATCACTTCCAATATTCATTTTTGGTTTGTATATATTTCTGAATAAGTTATTTTCCTTCCTTCGCCTCCACAACCCATCTCATGGATAGTTCAATAGTCATATTCAATATATCTGGTGAAGCTTATATTAGCGATGTTAGTGAACCAACCATAGCTCTGTATATCATTCTACTTGTCTGAATGGGTTACTCTACGTCCTCTATATATATATATATATATAAGCCTTTTTTGAATATTACCACTAGCTCTCATGAAATCACCAAATAAGCTTAAACCTCACATGTCGCATCACCTTTTCGATGTTGACATTCTTTTTTTTTACTTTCAAAAGTTTTGTTTATATTACACCTTATACATACTTGTAATCATATGGATTGCCTGCTTTGCATATATGTTGCTATTTCACGGATATTCATTAGACGGGATATTTGCTATGTCCTTGTGTAACTGTCATTGTACGGTAATGCCGGATGTTGCCGGAGTCTGCGGTTCAGGGTTTTCTTTTTTCATCTTTAGACCTCGAACCCACTTTTTTGTAAACATAAAATGCCCCCAACCCCCCTTAATAACCGTTTTTTCCGTTTGTTTATAATCAATGTTACTCCTTACTTTGTTGATACCCTTATTTAGAAATTAGGTGAAAGTATCTTGTCCGTTTCTTCCAAATATATTTCACCTCTAGAGTCTTAGCTCGAACAGTGATGCTTGTTCGAGTTTTTAACGAACCAACACTGTACCTTCTAAAGATATAGATTACCTTGGTAGATGAAAAGTTGTTTTCAATTTTTCTATAATATATACATATTTAATAAAATTGTATTTATGAATGTTGTTCTCATATGTGTTGCTTGTGGAAGGGATCGTTGAACGCGTATTCACATACTTAATATCATTTGACATGGAAATGTCCGCCTTTTTAGCCTCTTTAATATGTCACGAAGTAATTCTGATGACTTCTTTGGCATTGAAGTCGACTCAGTTTATCATGAGAAGAATACGCCCAATAAGGAGGTTGCTTCTTTAGTTATTATGTCGAATCACATTTGATTGGCAGAAGGTAGAAGCTGCAGCCAAAGTAACAGGGACAGACTTTCTCGAAGATGCACTATGTCCTGGCCTCAGGGTAACCCTACTATCATCTTGTTTTCATCAAAAGACGATCTGCTTGTTAGGAAAAAGCCGAGCAGTTTGAGAGAGCACGCGGACTTAGTGTTGATGAAGTTAATACGTACGACGATTCAGCTGAACGACTCGGCCATTCATCAAAGACACAAGGAGATATATTGTGGCCGTATGAGCAAAATACAAAGTCTCCAAGGTTTTTCGTAAGACAACAGCTTTTGCATTATTGTGAAATAACTTTCAGAGAACCAACGATTGATGATGAAAGGTTTCTTCCATCAACCAACTCTGATGAAATTCAGGCGAACAACCAAAGAAAATCTAAACGTATCAAAGATGAGAAAAGTTCGGCGCTTACGAATGAAATGAAGATTGTAAGAATTTCGAAAGACTAACCTCATAAGGATTCATTTGTACACAGGCTTTATATGATGATGAAGCATTGCCCGGATTAGACGAGTTATGGAATAACTTCTTGGACTTACGAAATGTGAATGAGGATCAGCTCTTAAGCATCTTATCTCAAACAGTCATTTATGCCGATAGTAATCATAATGAGCATTCATCTTCATTCAATCTTTTTGAACTTTCAGACAACTTGATAGCATTTGAAAAGCCTTATGGATTACCATATTCGGGTTCACGTAGGAATGATGCTTTGCAGTTTGATAGGCTTCTACAACGTTTGAAAGTGAGGCTTAGTTGTTGTTTATGAGGGTTTCATGTTTATTTCAGGCTCTAGTCGCTCCTAAAGTCGAACGACTCTATTTGATCAAATCGTTGGACAAAGCTCAGTCAGGAATTTTATTATTTGGAACGTTCGTTCATAAGCTCTTTCTATGCAATCAAATCGTTTTATAGAAGTAAAATGATACAGAATGACGTAAAGGAAATGATAAACTCAGACTTAGTCGAACAGAAATACAGGTTTTCATAAGTTCTCTTCCACAACAAGGAACTCATTTTCATATTCTATAGGTGTATAGTCCGGGGCGCTCTTGATGAATCTTCGGTTGACGTAACGATTCCTCTTATACGAATGATCAGAAATGGAGATTTAAAAGTATTCTTTCCTGGCTTATACACTTTCCCATCACCTCATATACAAAACTTTCGCTTAAGCTCGAATAACGACGTATTAAGCTGCCCAAAGCTCAAGCTCGAAAACCCTCCAAAACCGTTAAGCCGATGAGTTTGATGGAAAGTGTATAAGCCTTTTAATTCATTTTTTCTCTAAGAAATAAACAACTCATTTATTACAGCTACAGCCACTCGTATCAAACAAAGCCAAATATCCCATTGAATACGTGAAAAGTAATGTTCAGGAGGTGAACTCAACTTCTTTCGTGTCTGATGTCGAAGTGACTGTGGAACGCGGTGACTACCAGCTTCTAGTTCCATAAAACAATATGATTATACTATAGATTGCCCTCATCAAATAAGATCACATTTATCATTGATAGGATGTCCTCTGATTGGAGATCACAAGTACGGCTCTGCTAGTGGAACTATGAGGTTTTCAATTGAGAAACACCAAACAGCAATGTCGTAAACTTCCTTCTTAAGATATCAATCAAACATTTTGAAGTTACTAAACATCAGCAAGAGTCAATCAAAGAAACTCCCCATGTTCTGTCATTTCAAAGAGGTTTTCTTTCCTTTCTTCTCTCCCCCCTTAATCATAATCATTCGATTGCAGATGAACTTACCGCCACTATCAGGCAGTAATCCAATAAAGATTTCGAGTCCAATGCCATATCACTATCGTTGGATGTTAAAACGGCTTCGTTTATTGAAATTATAGGAGTATTTAGTTAATAAATTTTTAATTCTATACGTATAGTTAAGGCTTATGTGATAAGCGTATATCAGTCCGCTTATTTATATTTTCTCTCTTAAAAATCCTTGTTATTTCTATTTCATGCATTGTTCTTCACTTCAGATGGACATATATACAAGCATTTCGGATTACAAGATACCCATTCGTATCATCAACTTGCCATGCTCAAATACGGAATATCGTCCCATCCTTCAGCATTTCATATCAAATGAGGATAATTTCATCAAAACAGTTCAATCGTATTTCCGTGTTCCATCTGATACGGTATGCCATTGACTATATGTTATCCTGCATTACAAAGATTCTTTTGTCAGAATCTGAAAATTCGTTTACAATTGAAAGATGGCACATTAGAAGATTTGGATTATAAATGGTATGATATCATTCTTATTTTCATATTTGACAGTCTTCTTCTATTCAAGGGAAATAAGGATTTTATCATACTTCAAGAAAATGCTTGAAATGGAGCGAGTTTTATGGTGTTTGTCAACCTTGGGTGGAGCATACTCTGCTATGGGCGATTACGATAAAGACTATGTCTGAAATAATTTTTTTTCATTTTGTATGACATCTTGATGTAGGCTGAGACAGCAGCCCAAATATCGAAAAATCAGTTAGCATTGGCATTAGAGATTGGTGATATAGCTCTGGTTGCAAGGTAATTCTTGCTTATCATCTTATCTTCTACCGTATTCTTTTAGATGCCATTTGTATTTAGCATTGAGTGATGCTCAACGAGGTCTTCATCGAAAAGCCGTCAATACTGTCAAGTAACAGAAGTAAATGACTCTCTTGTAAAGCTTCTCATTTAGAATGATTTATCATTGGGCAAACATCAATTCTGAAGATCTGGTTATACGTTGCTCTACCGGAGTGTTCAACAAGATTGTTTCCATCCGAATGAATATGATGAAACATACTACTAAGTGTTGTGAATAATTTTTCAAAAGAGTTTGTGCAAATTCGGGTATTTGACTGTTTTCCTACATTGTTTGACACACATTTCTAATAAATAAATAGAAGTTTACTTCATTTTCTCATTCGAAACATGTGTCTGTGGAATCACGACCGTTTCCCAACTTCTTCACACAAGTTAATTAACACTAAGATTCACACTCTGAGCTAGTAAGTAATGAACAATGAAAGAACCAAAAGTTCATCATTAGCTGACTGTAAATCACACGCTAAGTCAATCCACACATTGATTAACACATTAGGCGAAGCTTCTCACGTTCATTCTGCAAAAGTATTTTGCAGCAGACGAGGATTGTAATGTATTATAAGATCATCATCTTGGGGGTCATGCTAGCTCTTGCTAGATTTAAAAATTAAGCTTGGTGTATTATCTTTCTTACTAATCAAAAGAATATTTTCAGAAAAAAATTCCTCATAAAAAATATAACGCTGTATTTCCTTACTCTGCTCGACGTATCACTATCAGGCTTTCATATACGCCTTTTCAAATTCATTTCCTGAGTTTACACGCGTCCCACGTAAAATCATTTTCAACTTTTTTCATCGTAGTGAGCGGTGATTCACACGTGTCTTACGTGAATTCATTCTCCACTTCCCCGATGGAAGTGAGCGGTGGTTTACACGCATCACACGTAAAATCATTCTTCACTTTTTTCAGCAAAGTTAGCGGTGTCTTACACGCGCCCCACGTAAAACCATTCTCCATTTTTTTTATCGCAGTGAGCGGTGATTCACACGCGTCTTACGTAAATTCATTTTCTACTTTGCAAATCGCAGTTAGCGGTGGCTTACACGCGTCCCACGTAAAATCATTTTCCACTTCGCCCATCGCAGTGAGCGGTGGTTCACACGCGTCTTACGTTAAATCATTCTGCACTTGACTTTTCGCAATGAGCGGTGGTTCACACAGACCTTACGTAAAATGACCTTCTCTAGATAGCTGCTTGTGTTGAGCGGCATATAAGAAATTCGGTATGAAGCGGAAAGATTGTGATAGCAGCCCCTCGTAGCAAGCAAAGGAAATTTCTTAAGAGAGGAACTCTTTCACCTGTTGGTACTCATTGTGTTTTCATTTCCGTATTCTGTCCTTATAGTGTCAATTTTGCGTGTCAATATGTTTTTACTATAAATCTATATGAAAGAAAACATCAGTTTGATAATTATATATGTTTTATGTAGTCAAAGAAAGCAATTGAGCAATAACCAATTTCCACTCAATTCTTCTTTTGATCAAATTATGTACAAGATGGAAAAAAGCAAACACAAAGATTATACAATAAAAGAAATAAATCGATCAATCAATATATATTTTTACATATATATATTTATATATATATATATATGTATATATGTATAGATATTATATAACTCTAACGACAATTACTAAATCTTACAAATAAACAATCAGTTGCACAATTTTGAGTAACAAAACTCTTCTGCAAGTAGAAGCGTTATGAATGAATGAAATTGAAAATGAGAATATGAAGATGAAACGGAAGCTAAGATAGAAAGATGGAGAGAGAGAGAGAGGGAAGGAGATTGAAAAAGGAAGAAGACCATTCCATTTGTAGCTTTAGAGCTTTATCATTCGTCTAAGCGAGACAGCAGCTAGTCTTGTGAATGAATAGAAGAATCTCTCATAGATTGAGATGATGAAGCATGAAGCAGAAAGTGAGAACAGAAAATTGAAAGGTTTTTTGTTTTTCGACGAGATCAAATGGAATGATTCATTTAACGAGTAAAACCGGCAAAGAACGTTTTGAGAACGGGGATAACTTATCATTAAGTTGAAATATATGAATGAATGAGCCCACCACAACTCCTAATCAGAATCAGGATGAAGCTGTCGTAGGTAAGAGAATATGAAAGAAGGAGTGGGGGGGGGGTTGTGTATGAAAATTGGGCAATGATTGTGTCATTTGTGACAAATGAATTGTAAACTGGATGATGCATACTACGACTGTTTTACAAAGAATGAAATGAACATTTCACGGATTAATTAAACCGAATGATAATTTACAAAGAAGAATACCCGCATATTATACATTATGAACTATAATTGGCTTTGATGGAAGAAGGCTTGAGAGATAAAGAAGGAGAGTGAGAAGGGGAGAGTGAGAGTGAGTGAATAAGATATAGAGAGAGAGAGATAGAAGCAAAGTGTGAGTTTGTATGTGAAGATGAAGCTTGTTCTCTTTAGATAATGCTAGCAGGTAAGTATTCGAAGGCTGCTGTATTGTCTCGAACTCGCTCACGCTCCCTTCTTGATGACGATTTTGTTGATCCGGCTGTTCTCCTACTCACAACAGCGTCATCAGAACCTATGCATGTATAGTCACGATTTGAAAGTGATCCCATGATTGCGCCCTATAATGAGATCATATGATGAACGAAAGGATGATTCAATGACATACCTCAGGAATGGACATCTGGTGATGTGATGTAGCTTGAGGAGGGGGCATACCATAATCAGATTTCATTCCAGCTGTTAGCAAAACTTGAACGATTTCTTCGAAGCCTTGATGTTGGGCGTGCCATAAGCATGATCGTCCTTGCTCGTCCAATGCCATCATGTCAGCATTATTCTGCATAAACAATAATTAGAATCGATTTCATCTCATTATTCACTTACCCAAAGTAACAATTGAACCATTTCTAAGCTTCCAATGCTGCAGGCCAAATGTAAAGGTGTTCGTCGATCTCTGGCTGATACACAGGAATTGACATCGTCTGCTGTAGCACGAGCCAGGAGCAATGAAGCAACAGCAACATCACGAGCCAAAACTGCTGATACGAGTTGCGAGCTCACTGTTTCGTCCACACGTAACAATGGCAGGAACCTCTTCTGCTCATACTTGGAGCGAATCCATTGTTCTTTGAGTTCGCGTGCGCTGTCAGGTTGAGGCTTCTTATCAACGGGTGCATTGTGTTCCCACAACTTGTTGGCTGATTCGTTTCCGATGGCTTGCATAACAGCCAAACATTCCACTGGCCAGTCATCTAATTCTAACGACCTCACACGTGAGACATGAGATCCGAGGTTGCGATGGATTCCACAGCATTCAATGCAAATTATAGTTCCTAAGTTTAAGCTGGCCCAGTCAGGATTGGCAGCACCACAATCGGCACAACGACCGTTTCCAGCAAGTTGTCGCAGAGCTTGCACTTCTTCACGGTTTCCATGGGCTCGATTGCTAGGTTGAGACATCTGATTTTGTAAAGCGCGTTCAATCTGCTCTTCAATTGCGGACACCCATTCGTCTCGCTCTTCCGCTGAAGCGGCACAGAATTCCCATCGTTTTTGATCACACGAGACGATCTGTAATTGAAATAGAACAATGAAAGTTCAAAATCTCAAGAGAACAAACCTCAAAGCATTCTTCGTCATCGTCAGCATGTTTACTACTTGAACCTAATCGACGATGTCCCCCACCACGTCGTTTTTTGCCACTTGAAATGGTATGTGGAGTTTGAGGAGCATTATTGGATTCTTTGGCATCGTCTGATCCGCCACCCGAAGTTCCCTCTCCAGCATCAGACTTTCTATCTTGTTGTGATGAAGTGATAGAGCTTGGCATAGAGTTGGCAGGAAGACCATCTTCAGAGGCAGTAGTTGTTGTGCTTGTAGCCATACGTTGAGTGTTACGTGGACGTTGACGTCCAGCTAGTCGAACAGTAGCCAAAGCCAAGTTAACCTTAAAAAGATAAAAATGAGCAAACTACATACAGTATGAAGCATACCTCTTTGCCATGAGCAGATTTATCCATATAATCTTTGAGATTATGATGATACGTTAACTTTCCGTCACTGTATAAGCACACATACTTCTTCTTCCATTCGCGATTTAAGGCACTTTTAGCACTTTTTTTATACAAATGTCCTTGTTTGATAGGAATAGCTCGTCCGACGCCATGATTTAAAGCTTCAATAGCTTTATTCTTCTCTTCTGTTGCATCTTTAGGACGTTGGAATATATTTGATATACGACGATTCTTCCGTTGAGTTGTGGGTGTGGATGATGGTGTTGGCAGGTGCGATGTGCTAGCACTAGCTGCTGACAATCCTTCAGAAGGTCCAAACTGTTCCGTTGATGTTGGAGTGTCTAATAGAGCAGCAGATGAGCGAGTGTGTAAACCTGAAAATGAATATTATTAAACTAATATATCTTAAGAAATGAAATTTTTTTTTTTTGGTCAACTATGAATGATGGATGGAATGAAAGTGAATGAAAGTTGAGTTGTAGTGCCCAATTGGCTTTCAGCATCAGAAAGAGAACTGACAATGGAAGGAACGTACTTTTTCGAAATGTTCGAGATGGTTGAAGAGTAAAAAAAAGTTTGAAGAGGTTTAGCTGCAATTCCTTGTGAGAATTGGACATGCGGAACGAACGGTAGTTAATGACGAAGAGAAGGAGAGAGAGTGAGGGAGGAATGGAAGAAGGAAAGTGAAAGAGAATTATTCAATTGACTTCACAACCTTTATAAGGTAATAATTAGCTGTTATTAATTGAACAAGTAGGAAATTGTAGTGAATTGAAAGGAAATACATTGAAAGGGCAATGAAGTTGTTTTAATGAACGATATGTCAAAGGATTATGGAAATGTGAGGGAAAGGTAACTAACCGTTTGTTAAGCTGCCAAGACTTTTGTGACTGCTTGATGGAGATAAGTCTCGATAATCCAATTGACTTGATCGGCTGGCAAAATTGGAGGTTGATGAAGGTAGCATGGATTGATAGGCAGCTGACAAGGCTCGTTGTTGTTGCTGCTGCTCAGCAGCTCCTCGCGATGAGCCTGAAAAACCAACTGAATTGAGTGAAGAGTTAATCGTAAATCGGTATGAGGGGAATGGAAAAACAGCTTTGAAAGGTGAGCGACTGGAGGATGGTAGATGAAAGAGGCAAAACGTTGTTAAAATGTTATAAAAATGGTAATAAAGGTTAACATGTGGATGAGAGATTTGATGACCATTTTATCTCACACGGAGGGTGAAGAAGGAGGAGAAAAATGAAAATGAAAAGATGGTTGTCCACAGGCTAGGTCAACAAACCATAAGAGCATCGATGGTAAGTCAAGCTGTAAGCGGAGAATGCAGATCATAGCACTTGGGTTTTGTCTTTCTCATGAAAATTGTGGCAAACGGGAAGAAAGGGACAACCATAGTATAATACAGAGAGATATAGAGAGAGGAAGATAGAGAGGGAAATAACAGAGTAATGGCAGGAAAGAGAAAAAGAGAAAGAGAGAAAGAGAGAGATAGGCTTGAAGGAACTGAAATCGGAAACAGAATTGTCCGAGCGCAATGAGATTGTAGAATATTCGTGTGAAGAAGAAGACGAAGAATGAAAAGTTGATAGAAAGTAATTTTTTAGGCTGTTAAAACGATAAGATAAGAAACACATGAACACAGTACGTCCTTTAATGGTATGTAAAGGAGGTTCTGTGATATGTGAGAGAAAGTCAAACGAATGAACGGAGAGATCGAAAAAACGAAAAAGAAAAGTCGAACAAAACAAAATGTAAATAACAGGAAGAGTAAAGTTAATCTTTTTGTTTAAACTTGATAAGAAAACGATAAATAAGATGACAATTTGATGAACCCCTTTAAGTAGCTTCTTCCGCTTTCCATTCTCTCTCTCTCTCTCTTTCTCTTTCATCATCATCTTGACTGCTCTTACTCATTGTCTCGCTCATTAACTCTCTCTTTCGCTCTTTCTCTCTACCCCTCTCTTCTATCAATCTGCTTTTTGTATCCAAATATGGTCATGAAAGTAGCCGAGTGGTACATGTAAACTCAATTTAAAAATAAAAAAAATGAAGTAAAAGATGCACATCGAGTTATCAGATCAACAACACTTACAAAGTAAGCGAAGTTGAATCGTTTTTGAACAAAAATTGACTTCTGCTGTTACGGCTGCTTGTCTCCTGCTGGTACTACTCGTTTTTCACTTTTCACAGACAAACATTCAGACAACACGACGTCGTCATCAGCAACTGTCCACTGCCATTTCTCACCAGATGTATACGCTTTCGATGAAGATTAACATCAAAAAGGAAACAAAAGTTTAAATGGCAACAGTTCCATTGAGTTGTGTCGAATGAGGTGGAAGAAGAGGAGAGTAGTGAGTTGAACAAGGAGATGGCGGAGGCGGCTGAGCGAACAATGAAGTGTTCCCACATTGCTATCGCTATCGATGACTAACTCATAATGCTTACAATCGGTAGCAGTGACTGGTTCAGCTTAGTTAGGTGAACTGAGGAAATGAAAAATAATATTTAACCGAGCCAAATATGGTGTGAGAGAATAAAATTATGCTTGAACGAACAACATGTATGTTTCAAGCTTAAGAACTCCCACACAGTCAATCATTTTTCTTATATTTTTTAAGAAGTCAAGGAGATGGTGGGGGAGGAAGCCATAAGACAGAGAGGAGAGGAGAGGAGAGAAGAGGAGAAGACGAGAAGATGAAGAAAAAGAAGAAGAACAATATAAAAAATAGAAATACTTACCATAACCAGAATGTTCTCGATGATTTATATGTGAACGACGAGAAGATCCATTGTTAACATCATGAAGTGGAGCATATGAAGATGATCGCGCACTATAAGCAGCACTCTTGCCTGATGTTGTTCCATACAAATAACGAGAATCCTTGAATGACAGTTAATTGACATATAATTAATGATTTCAATTACTTGATAATCTCGTTTATCTTCACGAGAGCCAATTGATGGAGTTGTTGGAGTTGTAGTCCGGCTCATCGTCGAGATGTAAGGTCCACCAAGAGTTGTTCGCTGGCGCATGATGATGCGAGCACAAGCTGAAAGTTACAATTGACTTGTTTATATATATAAAAAGTATGATAAAAAGAATGTCTTTTGTAAAATAAAAAGTAGAAAAGTGACAATTGTGAAAGACGTTTTGAAGTTGTGCATTGCTTAATATCAAAACGAAATTGGACGGCAGCTAGAGAGAGAGAGAGAGAGAGAGCGGAGGAGGAGGGAAGAAGGGAGGAAGAGAACGTTAAAGACAGATTTACATTAAGAGTCACAAAGAGAGGCGCATAGGCTGTAAGAGAAGAAGAAGAAGAAGAAGAAGGGAATACATTTTGTATAAATTATTGTCAACTCCTTTCACATGTGCCATTTTCGACTTCAAATCCTCGTGGGAGTTAATTTATCAGTCAATACCAAGGCAATGGGTATAATGGAACTCGCGCACATGTCAAGAATTGAAAAAGGAATTCAAGCTTTAAGCACATCTCCATATATGGGAATAATCTCTAAGAAGATAGAAAAGGAAGATGAAAAGAGAATTAGATGTGAAGAGAGTCCAATGCGAAATGAGTGGGAGAGAGAAAGTATAACATCACTACAAAAACTAATCTATTGTACAATAGCTTTCAATTCTCTCTTATCCTCACTCTCAAGGAAATTTCAATTTGGCCAAAATTCGTAATACGAGGAGGAGTCATCAACTACTCTTCCTTCTGTCTCTATCTTTTTTTCCCTTCAGCGATTCAGATGATGAGGATGGAACGATAGAACGATAGAACGATAGAACGGAAGAACGATTGAACGATTGAATGAACGAATGAACGGACGAACGAAAGAAAAGAAATTAAAAATATCATTTGTCATTGTCTCTATTAAATCATTCACACCGTATAAGGAGTTACTTCAGAATGATGAGAGATAGAGCAAGTGTAAGAGAGTATGGATGATTGAGAAGAAATTGACCTCTCAAAATTTCTTGAAAGAAACTGCGACACCGTCACAAGTGTCGGCGAGAAAAAGAAATTTCGGAAATTTACATAATCCACCTAATTGGCTCTTTTTGTAGAAACATCTCCTATAGGGGCTGGAAATGTCGCAAACAAGCAGTTTCCGGAGTGCTACTCTTTCGGAAATGTTTCAACTTGCGTATTGTGCAACTGCCTCGAAGACAAATTGGAGATAGAGAGAGAGAGAGAGAGAGAGAGAGAGAGAGAGAGAGAGAGAGAGAGAGCGAGAGAGAGAGGGAG